GGCAACCGGCGCCTCGGGAGCCATATGCGGCTCTGGCCCCTTGAGTGTGGCTCTTCCACAAAATATCACGTGCGGACGTGCATGTACAGTGTGATTGAAACCTCGTGGCCCATGCACAGAAGTCGGTATTTTGTGGAAGATCTGGTATATTGTGGAAGAGACACATTCAAGGGGCCAAAGAGCCACATGTGGCTCACAAGACGCGTTTTGCCGAGCCGCAGTTTGCCTACCACTTAGTCTAGTCTAGGCTAAGCTAATCAGTGGGTTCAACTGCAAGGGCGATAATGATTCCTTACGCTAGGCTACTACATGTCAAGGACAGTACTTTGGCTAACAATGTTGACAAGACAGATGGATTCTATCACTGAGCATTTGCAAATAAAAACAAATGCTCAGTGATAGAAGCTGTGATGATGAATGGGTTGCTATATCAGTTTATGATGGCCATGCTCTGTTCCTTCCCTGTGCATCACTCTACCATGGCCCTTCCCACTCAGTACTGTGCTCCCTGATGTTTCTGTCTCCCCCATCAGATGGTTAGCTCTTTCTAAAGCAGCGATTTTCAACCAGTTTTCCACAAGAACTTTTAAAACATGCAATACCAGATTATTCAGTCAGGGTCGCTAACCTGTTTTCCCTTAGGTCAGCAAATAAAAAATGACAGTAGCCAACACAATAATAGTCATCTGGTGTAAATGTTCTGTCTTAAACTACAAATATAGAGGTCATATAATATAGTTGCATCTTTTTTAAAAAATATATTTTATTGATTTTTTTACAGAGAAGAAGGGAGAGGGATAGAGAGTTAGAAACATCGATGAGAGAGATCGATCAGCTGCCTCCTGCACTCCCCCCACTGGAGATGTGCCAGCAACCAGGGCACATGCTCTTGACCGGAATCTAACCCAGGACCCTTGAGTCCGCAGGCTTTGACCAGAGGCTGCTGCCTAAGCTGCCTTAATAGACACCTGCATTGTCTGCAGGACACAAGGCCAACTTTTCTTAATGAGAACCCAGGACCCTTGAGTCCGCAGGCTGACGCTCTATTCACTGAGCCAAACCGGTTTGGCCATATAGTCGCATCTTATTGGTACCCTTGAATAACATGGTTGTGTCTGATTGGTAAATTCTTGGTACCAGCAATTCTTATATAGAAGTGTAGGAACCTGATTATTTTGGAGCAAAAAGGGTAAACAACTATATTTTTTTATAAATCAATCAAAATTTTACCTCTCTTTTTTGTTTGATAGGCAAAAAGTATATTTTTAGTGTACCACAAAATTTTAGTGATTAGTTTATGTGTGCCATGAGATGAAAAAGGTTGAAAATTCTGCTCTAAAGGAACAAGATACAACTCTGCTATGTGTGCAATTGGACAGAGAAGGGCCTAAACACACATGTGCAAAAGAAATTACCCTGATGGACTTAGTAGCATGGAGATGAGGCACTGGAGGTTCTCACACTGGGGACTCAGTTTTCTGGGCTCCAGTACCTCCACTGGTTGATATCACATCACACAGGCCCCACCTTGTACCCTTGGGTTCCTGCTCAGGACTGCAGTCTGCTCTAATGTCAGCTCTGAGTCATCAGCTGTGGGTACTGATGTGGTCACTGCATACTCACACAACCACACAGACACCATCATCAGGCAGGAGGTGTGAG